TAAAACTTACAGTGGCCCACACAAGTTGAGATGTGAGTTAGGAATTGTATTTTCCACATAGAGCCTCTTTCTGCTTTGCAATAAAAGAATGTAATTCTCTATCCTGATGACTGTAATTTGCTCTCTGGTGCAGAGATCAGCATAACTACATGCCTACCTCCACATAGAGACATTCTGAAATTAAATTTCCTCTTTTAGAAATAAAATTGAAAAGAGAAAGATAGGAAGAAAATGGGATACAATTCTCTCTTCTGTCTTAACTGATTGAAATATGTGGCCTTGCATAGTGGAAAATCTCTGAATCTATGCTCTGTTTCAGAGCTGAATATTCTCTTTCAGAAACTAGATTAAAAAGAAGTAACAAATGATATCTAATTCTGTCTTCCCACTCAGGTGACTGAAAAATATGTCACCATACAGAGAAATTGCCAAGTCTCTCCAAAAATGCTCTTTGTTTGAAATATGGCAGTCTACATACACAGTGCTGATGTGGGTGACACATTCCTATGGCTATTACTTCATTAACTGTATGTCTAATTTTGAAGCCCTGGTTCCAAACTGTGGTACCAGAACAATTTTAAACCATTTAAAACACATTGTTTCATTTTTTAGAAAACAGAGATGTAAATTAAAACTTGACAAAACTGAGCTTTGCGAGGCGTCTGCAGGATGCACAAAGCAGGAGATTAGTGAAAATGTCCAATAAGATGCAGTTGATAAGGGAGAAGAATTAAAAACATCATATTTTCTGACTTGTATTAGGATCATAAGGTCCAGGAGCGTGTGTGTGTGTGTGTGTGTGTGCACACGGGGGGGGTGCTTTAATTATAGCAGCTCCAACAGCCGCTCTAATTAAAGTGTCAGTAGTGTTTTGTGTATGCTGTAAAATGGTGGCAGGGGCACTTTAACTAATGCTCGTTCAACAAGCTTTAGTTAAAGTGCCTCCACTGCCATTTTTCAGCGTGGGGACAGTAATACATGAGACGCTGGAATCTGCTGGAACACAATAATTTCCACACTCCTGCAGACTTGATTAATTGAGTCTGCTCCAATGCACTGTAATTACAGCACATCAGAGCAGCCTCACTACACATGTGTAGGCATCCATTGTGCCATAGGAAAGTACAGCTAGAAGGGACCCCACAAGGTCATGTAGTTCAGTTTTTTGCTCAAGGCAAGATCATCACCATCTTCCCTAAGTGTCTGTCTAATTAGCTCCTGAAAATTTCCAGGGATGGAGATTCCGCTAATTGTCTAGGTAGCCTGTTCTCATGCATGACCACCCTCACAGTGAGAATGTTCCTCCTAATCTCCCACTTAAATTTCATCTGCTGCATCTTAAGGTCATTGCTCCTAGTCCTGTCCCCTATGGCTACAGAAAAAAGGTCTTCTCCATCCTCTCTGTAGGTATTTGAAGACTGCCCCCACCCCCTCCCAGTCTTCTCTTCTCCAGTCTAAATAGTCCTAGTTCTTTCAGTCTCTCCTCATCAGTCTTGTTTCCCAGGCCTCTAATCATTTATGTTGAACTCCACTGGACTCTTTCCAATCTGTCCACATCTTCCTGAAAAGTTGAGTGCAAAGTTGGATATAACACTCCAGGGGAGGCCTCACGAATGCTGAACAGAGTGGAAGAATCACTTCCCTTAATTTGCAAGTGGCACTATAACCTAGGATACTATTGGCCTTTTTTTGCAAAAAGAGCACACTCTTGGCTCATATTCATCTTGTGGTCTACTGCAACTCCCCCCCCTTGGTCCTTTTGTGCAGTACTACAGCCTAACCCAGGGCTAGGGAATTATTTTGGGCGGAGGGCCACTTACTGAGTTTTGGCAAGCCATTGAGGGCCGCATGACAGGCAGCCCAGGGCAGATAAGTATTAATTTTCTAAATTTTTAGGGGCCCCGTGGGCCAGATAGAATGGCCTGGTAGGCTGCATCCAGCCCGTGGGCCGCATTTTGCCCACTCCTGGCCTAACCAGTCATTCCCTAGTCTTTATTTGCACATGCAAATATTCTATCCCAAGTGCAGGACTTCGTACTTGTCCTTACTGAATTTCATTTGGTTGATTGTGACCCATTTTTCCAGGCTATCCAGGTCATTTTGGACCCTAGCTCTACCCTTCAGAGTGTTTGCAACTCCACCCAGTTGGTGTCATCTGCAAATTTGATTCCATTGTCCAAATCATTAATGAGAATGTTGAACAATACTGGACCCAGGACAGGCCCCAGGGAACCCTACATGATGCCTCCTCCCAAGTAGATATTGAGCCATTCATGACTACTGGTTGAGCACAATGATCCAACCACTCATAGATCCACCTTACAGTACTTTCGTTTTGTCTGTTTTTCCATAGCTTCTTAATGAAAATGTCATGGGGACAGTATCAAAGGCCTTGTTAGTTCTGGGTATAGTAAAAACTGTACAATGTATGTACACAAAGCTGCTTTCATTAAGTCAGCAATAACACAGTTTACAACTGGCATAAGAGCCAGTAAAGCATAACATTATGCTACATTATTAAATCACAGTCAAGCAGGCAGTTCACTAAAAGGAACAGTCTTGTTTCTGCACTACTCAGACTGATATTCTGAATCTTTGAAGCTCAACATTCAGATGTACTTCTGTTGTCCTCACCCTTAAATTCATTGCTCAATCTCTGAAATGCAGTCAGATACAAAAGGTACTGGGGCACTGGAACTGGAACACTGAACACTTCTATGTGACAGTTCTTATAGGGCAGAGATAAGAAATTCACCCAGACCCACAGGCCAGGTGGGACTGCGTGTGGGCCAGATCCAGACTCAGAGTTCATTGGGCACTGGATTCAGGCTTTTCAGCAGCAGTGAGAGTTAACGCTCCTGTTGCTTACCCCCTACTGACATGCATCCCCAACAGGCTCTGTACTCCATGACAACTCTTGCCCAGCCCCTAAATTCCCAGCCCCTCGGGGAACTCTATAGGCCAGATGACACAACTCTTCAGTCTGGATCCAATCTACCATCTGTATGTTTCCCCTGCTCTAGGGGAATCAACAGCCTTGAGTTAGGTACTGAGATGGGGTGCCTCAGAAAGGAATCCACCAGAACCAGCTTGCTAAGTAGGGACTTGCCTAATTTAGCCAATACAACCCTGCCCTCAATATAATCGTATCTTAAATCCTGCCCCATTTAGAGGCTTGACACCTGGAGGTGTCTCACTTCAGATTCACAACTCTGAGTTCTCTGTCTTTTTTTCCAGGAAAGAAGGAGACTTGCTCTTTTATAAATGCACCATCAGGTCAGATGATACATTACACTTATTTACTGTTTTACTATTTATCAATAAGACAATTTCATGGTTGCGGGTCCAGGAAAACCAAGAGAATGAATAATCAGGTCATGAACTTTTTAATATTTTTTTGCCACATATGATGAGGCAGATGTATACTTATATTTATTGTATGTGTACCTACTCAGACCATGAAATTCAATTCACTTTCTATATACTCCTTCACAGTAATGAAGTTTCAGATATTATCCTTCCACCTGTATTTGATTTGGGGGTTGGAAGTTGCTCCTAGAAAGTCTTTCCTTTTTCCATGTTTTTTTATTTTTTATTTCATCATGGAATCAATGAGCATGACAGATCAGTAAAATTACCCTGCAAAATTTTGGAGCAAGTTAAATATAGCATAGCCTCTCTCTAATAATAGCATTAGCATTAGAATCAGCGAGAGCCTTATTTAGTCTTTGTTTTCACTTGTCCAGGTCAGCTGGAGCTGCTTTTGCATTTTATGTCAGATCCTAACTCTCATGATACTGCTGCTTTTTCTTCATAGTGAAAATTGGGGCCAGGTACAGAACTGTGTAGTAGGTGCACAGAAAGTGCTCTACAGCTGTAACCAAACAGATGATCAGGGCACATATAGCACTGAAAAATGGCAGGTCCCACTCTGAGCTAACTCTAGATGGGAGTGGTATCAGATGCTGGTGCTGTAGGTTAGAGCATCATAAACATCTGTACCAGATTCCATCCTGACTCATGGTAATAAACCTGGTTAATTGTCAATTGGACACCTCATCCCTCAAGGTCACATTGTTTTCCTGAAAGAGGCCAGTGTGTTTATGCAGAACCACTTTACACAAAATGGCACCCAAACAGCCCCTGAAAGACACCAGCCCACTGGGCCAGGCCACTCTGGGTGAGGGCCCTGCTGTGGGGGAGTGGCACAGCCTCTGCAAAGATAAGCAGCCCCCTGGGCTCAGGTCAACTTCTGGAATGGGCAACATTCCATAGGTTTTCTTTATTATGCACACAAAATTTTGGCAGCTGCAACATTTAATTAAACTGAGGGGTGCCAGTTTTACTTGCAGCATTCCCCCTGCCACTCCAAGTTTTCATGTTTTGTTAAGCTGAGCCCCTGTGGCTGCCCCTCCCCTCCTTTCCTACCTCCAGAATCTTTCCTCAATCAATGTTAAGTGAGAAAATGATTCCAAGTTCCGAAGCAGGCAACATCCCAGTTTTTGTTTCATAAACACACTAAAAGTTTGGCAGCTTCAACATTTGATTAAAACAAGACATGTCTTTTCTTCAGGCTGCATTTCCCCTGAGACCTGGTGTGTGCCCCTGGTGGGGGTTGAGGAGGGAGAGAAGAAGGGGGATGGTGCCCAGACAGCTTGAGTTGTGGGCAGTGATGCCTGTGATGCAGGGTCAGAGGAGCCTGGGGCTGGAGACTTATGGCCCACTTCCACTGCTAGGGCAGGGGCACTTGAAGCCCTCAAGCCCTACTCATCCAGGAAGGGCTCCTGATCTACACAGATGAGGATCTGTAAGGAGAGCTCTTTTTCAGAGGTCAAGAAATGCAGAAATAAAGTGAGAATTGATAAAGGCTTAGGTGAGTTTGCCCATAAAAAGGGCAAAAATTTTTTCAATCATATAATAAAAAGAAAGTTAGGAGGGAAGTAGTGAGCACTGAAGATGAGGTAGAAGCTAAAGGTATGACCCAATAACTGAATGGAAACTTTGTCTCAATCCTCCATAAGGATGAAGGTGTAAATGAGGTATATGAAAATGATGAAGTAAATTCTCACATCTTAGGTGGATAGAAAGTCAAAGCTGGGAGGTGGGGGGCCAGGGTCTGGATAATCTCTATATCAGAATATTGGATGAATTAGTGCATGAAATAGCCACCCCTGCAGCATGGATTAGCAGTGAATCTGTTAATTTGGGGATAGTGCTCTGTGATTAGAGAATAACAAACATTGTGCCAATATTCAAAAGGGAGGAAAGGAAGGACCCATGCAATTATAGTACCATTAGCTTGACTTCACCGTTCAAGGTCTTAGAACAGCTATTGAAGGCAGGAAGGTTATGGAGGTAAACAGAAAAAGGGACAAAACACAACATGATTTTACCCTAGGAAGATCATGTCAGACCAATTTGATATCCTTCTGTGACAAGGTAAATCACTTCTTAGACAAGGGCAATACAGTGGACCTAATCTGTTTAGATTTAAGCAAAGCATTTGATACTGTATCTAATGGAAAATTTATGGCTACAGTGGAGAAAATGAGTATTAACACTTTAATTGTAAAGTGTATAAAAATTTGGCTAAATAGGGACTCAATTAGCCTATGCTAGAAGAGGAATTATCAGATTGGTGAGAGTTTATTTATTATGTTCATCAGGGATTAGCCTTGGGATGACTCTAGAATGAACTGTGCTTATTATATTTGTGGATGACACAGCTGGAGGCATTGCTAGCGCAGAAAGGATAAGACAGCTTTGTGAAGTGGAGCAATAGAGATGGAATGAAGTTTTATTTCTACTATGAAGAGCAATATCATGGAGTTAGGGTCTAAGAATGAAGATTTGGGCTGGAAAATGGGGAATCTTAGAAAACTGAGAAAGAGAGGGACCTGAGTGTATTGGTCAATCATAGGATAACCACAAGCCCCTGATGTGATGTGGCTGAGGAAAAGGCTAATGCAATTCAAGGGTGTACTGGAAAGGCTGTTTCTAGTACAGACTCTGTACAAAGAAGTACTGAGGCATTAGCCTAAGGCAGAGGTGTTCAATCTTTTGGCTCTGCAGGCTAAATGAGTAATGTGGGGCTTGTCTGTAGGCCAGACTAGATCTTACTGACTGGGATCAGGCTGCAAGGCCCCAGGCCACCTTTGCCTGCTGGGGTCAGGCCCCAGAGTCCTATGCTGTCTCTGCCTGGTCCCTCATAGGGATTAGGCTCCAGGGCCCTGCACCACCTCCTCTTGGTCCCATGTGCTAGGATTGGATACCAGGTCCCAGCACTACCTCCACTCAGCCCCACATGTTGGGATGGGGTCCTGGGGCCCTGTGCCACCCCCACGCAGTCCTGCAGCCCAGCACTTCATCCCTGCCCCTGGGCATCCTCAGGTTCTGTTCATTTGGCTCAGGGCCAGAGTTCAGGGGGGATTGCCCTGGGATAGCAGGGGTCCAATGTTGCCCTAGTTTTTCTTCTAATTCCCCACATATCTGAAGAAGGACTTTTATTGTCTGTGATTTGTGTAGCTAGTGTGAGTTTGGTTACAGCCTTGGCTTTCCTAGTTCACTCCCTACAGGTATGGACCAGTGCAGAATACTCCTCCTTAGTGGTGTTTCCTGTCCTCCATCCTCAGCATCCTAACTTGCTGATTTTGCGGTTGATGCTTGGTGGGCTTGCTCTCGTGGTTGTCTGCCCATCCCCTGGTGAGCTTAGTTTAAAGCTTGGTTGAGCAGGTCAGCCATTCTGGCTGAGAAGAGCTTTTTCCCCAAGTGAGTGAGGTGGAGGCCATCTCTTCCCAACAGACCACTGCCTCTCTCTCGGAAGAGCGTACTGTGGTCTTAGAAGCCAAAGCTTTCACGATGGCACCAGAGCTGCAGTCTTCTGTTCACTACCTCAGTTCGTCTCTCCCTCCTCAGCCTGTGACCCATAACTGGAAGGATCGAGGAAAAAAAACACTTCAGGCCCCAACCCCCTGAGCTCCACTCGCAGAGCCCTGTAGTCATTCAGGACCTGGCTGGGATTGCTCTGAGCCATATCATTTGTGCTCACATGGATAAGGAACTTGGGGTAGTGGTCAGAGGGCTAGATAAGTTTTGAGATCCTCTCAGCTACATTCCAGATACGGGCCCCTGGGAAGCAACAGACCTCTTGGGGTAACGGGTTGGGATGGCAGATTACTCCCTCTGATCTCCTCAGGAGGGAGTTTCCCACAACGACCACTCTGTGTTTCATCTTAGGGATGGTAGTTGGTCACGTTTCTTCCTCACTCGCAGGAGCTGGCAGCTCTGCAGGCTCTACTGATGGTGTGAGGGGTTCATACCTGTTGCATAGATCCAGCGGGGTAGTGACTCTGATGTAGTGAGCCTTGGGGCCATTGACAGCCTTTGTCCAACCCCTTGGGTGGACAGTATGGGAGCTCCTCTTGTCTACCCTTGTCCTGCCAGGTAGCTTGGCTCTTCCCTCTTCTTTCTTCTGGTGAAGGGCCTGGAAGTAGGACTCAGCCTCCTATTCACCATCCCTGATGGCATGCAGCCTCTGCACCATGGTCTGGAGCTCCACTATCTGGGTTCCAGAGACTCCAATATGGAGCAAACCTCACAAGGGGAGGTGGCAATACTCCTGATCCCATGTGCCTGGAGTCATGCCAGGCAGCCCCCACAGCTGAGAGCCTGGGGCTCCATGGGCTCCATCTGGGTGGAGGTCTCAGAAGTACCAGAGGGGAGGGATCCAGTCATGGGGGGGGGCAGGAAATCTTCGGGGTGTGGCATATCCCCACCATGGTGCAGGGTCTGGGCTGCTACTGTGCTGACCCTTCTCTTCAGGCTTGCCACCTAAATGCTTCCCCTAGTGATGACATGGTGGCATCAGCTGTGGACATGGGTGGATGCCCCGATCCCCATCCAAAATCTTCTTATGCTGGCACTGGCCTGGGGTTGCTTCTGCCACACCAGGCAGGTAGTGGCATAAGCTGAAGATGGGGCAGCAGGTTCTAGGTTGGGGATGGGAACTGGGGCATGCTACAGCTTGGGGGTACGAGGGGGAGAGAAAGAGAGAGAGAGAGAGGACCAGGGCATGCTACAGCTTGAGGGAGGGGGGGAGAGAGAGAGAGAGAGAGAGAGGAAGGGGATGGGGTGTGTTACATCTCCAGGGAGGGAGGGACAGAGAAGGAGATGGGGTCCTTGAGAGGACACCAAAACTCATTAAATGACCTTCCAGTCAAAATAATTGCCCACCCCTGGTTTATTTTAAAAATAATTGCCCACCCCTGGTTTATTTTGTAACATACTGTCACATCAGCTTTAAGATTAAGTCACAAAAAAACGGTGAAAAGGAAAAGGAGCCCCATCTTTTTATTAACAGTTTTCCAGAGACTCAAGCAGGGTGGAATAGGGTCCCACTTAGGTGCATTATTGTGGAGTAGGATCTGGCCTACATTTTATTTGGGTAAGGCAATGATTAATTCTCCCATACATCTCCCAATTCAGATAACACTGGAAACCACAGTTTTGTGCCAAAAGTATCAGAAGATGGTTGAATCAAGCTTAAACTGTGAATTTGCCAGCTAAAAAAAATTGGAAAGGTATCATTTTGTTGTTTGTATATTACATGGTGGGCAGTGATATAGAGCTTTATTCTCTTAGGGCACTCTTACACATGCTCCGGGGGCCAGGTGCTTTAATTAGAGTGGCTCCGAGAGCTGCTCTAATTAAAGTGCCACAGAGTCCCAAGCATCAGCATCCCCATGCTTCAAAATGGTGGCAGGGGTGCTTGAACTAAAGCTTGTTCAACACCCCCACCACCATTTTGAAGTGCAGGGATGCTGATACATGAGATGTGGGAGGCTGCGTGAGTACGATAATTACCACGTGCTGTAATTACAGCACGTCGGAGCAGCCTCCACACTCATGTACAGGCACTTAGCAACCCAGCTGTCATTAGGTCTTCTTTTGGAATTCTCTTCTATGGAACCAAGGCCCACAATTTAAGTTGTAGTGTATTGATTTGTTCCTATTCTGGAAGCAGAAGACCATTTACAGAAAATTATACCTAGCATATGAAGAAACAAGTATACAGAAAAGGACTGAAAATGGTTTTGAAACATGATGTGACATAAAGTCTGGTATCTTCTATACCTTTGATCATGTAGAGCTGTTGCTGGTGGGGACGGGGGGAGGCAAGAAAACACAGGTGAAAGAGGTAAGTAATGAGTGATTGTGATACCAAATGCCTGGGAAAAAGATCAGAATTAATATGTTCCATGGCCTCTAAAGTCTTTTGCATAACATCTCCCTAAAAATAAATAATAATAAATGAAGTGTAGTGTTTCTTAATGCTAATTCTAATAGTTAATTAGGCTGAATTAAAAACACATTCTCTAGCTGGCTGATTTGAAGGCATAAGGAGAGCTATATTTAACCTCTCTTACAGACCTAGATTTTTCATTAACAAGCAACATGAAAAGTGCCATATCTCAATAACCTCTTCAGTGAACTGCTTCCAGACTGATTACTGATGTATTTTTCATTATCATGCATAGCAAGTGCATTTTCTAACGTGAGGAGTGAAATGGAAAGTGCTGAGGGCTCCTAGTCTTGTTGGGGGGAGGAACTTGCACATCCATGAATTGCTGGAACTCTAGTCGCTCTAAATTAGGGATGGGACTGGTGTGCCTGTTTCACTCTTGCCTATTGGAAAGAGAGGGCCTTGATTTCTTCTGCTAGATCTTAACCCCACCCTGTTTATTTATGGAGGATTAAGATCCTAGGACTTGTACCCTATCTGCTGTATCAGATTCGCCTGTTTACCTCACTGCTGCAGCTACCCACTGGGGATTGTGTGCAGTTGGGATGTTGTCAGCTAGTGGGATTAAAGATGGCATGACGCCTGTCATGACTCAACCATCTCCCTTTTTTTTAACTGTAAGATTAATTGTTCTCCAGCAGAATGAGGCACAGGAGTAATGAAAGATCTATGGGGAGTTTTATATGGGAGTGATTTTCTGCATGTACCAGACTGGG